TGTGCCCCCCCCGGGCAGCGGAGCAGCAGCTGGCACAAGGAAAGGGACCCGCTGGCTTTTAAGCATGGGGGAGAGGAAAGTGGGCTGCTCAGAGAGGGACAGGGAAGGAAAACAAAAAAAAAGCCATCAGCTGGACATGTCACATTTGACACCTTCAGCCAAGCCACCAGCGGTCTCGCTGCAACCTGCAGCTCCTGCCTGAGCAGCTATCGCTGGGCCAGCGGGCAAGAGCACAAATCACAAAATCACAGAATCCCAGACTGGCAGGGGTTGGAAGGGCCCTCAGGAGCTCACCCAGTCCCACCCCCCTGCCCAAGCAGGCTCACCCAGAGCAGGGGGCACAGGACAGCGTCCAGGCGGGGGTTGAATATCTCCAGAGAAGGAGACTCCACAGCCCCCCTGGGCAGCCTGGGCCAGGGCTCGGGCACCCTCCAAGTCAAGAAGTTCTTCCTCACATTCAACTGGAACCTCTTGTGCTTCAGTTTGTGCCCATTGCCCCTTGTCCTGGCGCTGGGCACCACTGAGAAGAGTCTGGCTCCATCCTCGTGACACCCATCCTTAAATCCTCCCTGCTCAGCTCAGCACCCTCAGACCAGAGTCTGGCAGGCAGACGCAAGCACCACCCCAGCAGATGACCAGAGATGGAGCAAGCCCTGACCAAGCTCAGGTGTTCTATTTAATTTTTTTTTTTTTTTTTTTTAAACAGCTGAAATCTAAGTAACAAGCCTACTTGAGAGAGACTATGCCCCTCTCCCTGCATCAGCTTCAAGTCAATCAATCCAGATAGATTCTTTGAGGGAACTTAAAAGTGGTTTGTTGTTTTGTTGTTTTTTTAATTTTTTTTTTTTTTTTTTTTTAAAAACCTGTGAATGGGAAATCTGCAGCCCAGCTCAGCTCCCCCTGCACCTCGCTCCAGCCTGGACATGTCCCACCATCCAGGGCAGAAAGCACGGTGCTGAGGAAGAGCAACAGCAGCCGCCACCTCCCCTGCCCAGAGCCACAAACCCTGCCAGGGCAGCTCGGCCAGGCAGGATCAGGCCCGCTGAGCAAACCTCAGGCCATTTGGATCAAAGTTTATCACCTTCCCCAAACACCTGCCTGGCTGCATCGGTCCAGAGGCTGCCCCCGGCCCAGCCCCACACGCTGCCCCGTGCTCAGGGGCCACCCTGCCCCTTGGGCAGCACCCGCTGGGGTTCATCTCCTCTCCTGCTTTGGGGATGGGGTGTTGGAAACATTCGGCTGCTGTAGGTTGCCATGGCAAACTCAATGTAAAGCTGTCAGGGATGCTGTTTATGTTGCCAAGTAGGGAGAGAAAAAAAAACCAAACTAAACCACCAACCCCCCCAAATTACCCTTTGTGGCCTGGGTATAAGCTTGCTCCTCTTTGGAATTAATTTCCAAAGCTGCGCTCTATCCCCAGTGGATGTGCTGAGACCCGGAGCACAGCTACACGGACAGACCGACTCTCCAGATGGGCACACGGGCTCCAAAAGCCAAAGTAGCCAAATTAAAGCCAAAAAAAATGAGCCTGAAGGACCTTTCATCACCTGCTCACTGGGAAGCATCCTGGGAGAGACCATGCAGCTCTCCTGGCTCTCCGTCCCACCGCACAGACCCCACCATCGCTCAGCACCCGCCGCTGGCTGCTGGGAGCCACGGTCCCACGTGGAAGCGATGCTCTAATGGGAGAGGGAGCTTAAAAGCCACCGGAGAGGCTGCATCTGCCAAGAAAATCACTGGGAGAGATGCGTTAAGCACTGCTGCTGGTGGAGAGTGTTTGGGGAGGGGAAGGGGCCCCGCCGGGCAGCTGCCACAGCCCCTTGCAGCGAGGAAGGAGTGAGCGTGCCAGGGAGCGTGTGGGGCTCCCTGGACTGGGGTGTCTGTACCGGGACCATCATAAAACACACTCTGCCTGGTTTCAACAGAGACGAGAGCCTTGGGCAGACGCTGCTCTCAGCAGGCACTGGGGGGTCGTGAGTGACCCCCACCGCGGTGCTGCTGGGGCTGAACTGGGTCCGTCTCCCATGATGGAGGCACGACCAAGATGAAGTGACATGCCCAGGGTGACACAGAGCAAGAAGCGGTCCCCAGGCCACGACGACACTGACGCTTGGTGGATTTTGAGCAGCAACAGAGCCCCCCCCCGCTCAGCTCCCCCTCCCACCCTGCGCTGCAGCGGAGCCCCCACCTCTCCCCATGAAGAGGCCAGGATC